CATACGCAGCTTTCGCAGTAGTTAGACATTCGTTGGGTGACCAAAGTTTATTTCCAGTTATCCATGCTACAATGTATGTTAAGCTGTTGGCTGTATCTGCAGACGTTCATAAAGTAGTATTAAAATATCTGTACTATAGTATTCGGTATAAAAAAAATATATTAAAGGAAAAAAATATAACATTTTGTTATACGATGAAATTCTCCAGCTTGTTTAGAATTATTCTCCATCTAAAAAATATAATATATAACAATTTGGAACCCAAGAGAATATACGTTTTTTGGCAATTTTGAATATGACACTAATATTTGAAATTAGTCAGCTACTAATACAACATGGTCAATCATCAATAGTTAAAAAAAAATCCATTACTTTCCCTTATCCATGTAAAGGCCATTATGAAGTCAATTGTCAACATCAAGATCTAACAATCAATCTAATATATATACATGAACTTGAATGAAGAATGAAATACTGTTCTTACAACACTCAAATTCACGTCTATTTGTAAAAAATGTTTGCGTCAATTATTACATTTTCTCAAGTAATTACTTCTCTCGTCTAGATACGTAATTTAACTTTGTAGAATTTCATAATTTTGAGAGTTGACAGTCTTTACTTAGTTTCAATTTCTAATTGCCTTTGATTAGGTGAAAATAATCCTGAAGTTAATGTTTCGTTAACAAAGTCTTAAGACCCAAAAATTCACCGTGCCATTTATCAAGCACACGGAATAAATCCACTGAAAGGCCGTAATGAATACGCATAGACTCAGGCAGCCGATTACGTCTCAAAGTTCCATAACACAGTTCACTTACGAATAACTCTCAGTCGGATTGAGTGAGAGACTGACATTTTTCAGAGTTCTTCGAGCGACTTACAGAATATTGATCAGCAAAACCTCTCATACCGCAACGCCAGATGCTCACTGGAAATTACTTTCAAATAAATCTGCTCGACTTGCTACAACGACGTAACAAGTATGGAATTTACAGAAATTATTAAAATGTGAAACGTTGTATGAAATCTACATGTCGTCTGATTTCAATAGACTGTAATACTAATTAAACATTGTTTAATTATATGATTACTGACTATTTATTATTAATTTAACTATTGTTTATTTTTTGTGTTGAACAATGTCTGTTGAAATTTGATATCATTTTCATAAAATGACGTAAACAAACCTATGGATGGGTTTAAATTTAATCCTATCATCTGACTTAATTACAAAAGAAACATATACGGCCGGTTTCTTTATTGTGAAAAATACAAAATCTCGACTGATTATTGCCAATAATTTAAGATTTTTTACGTTTTGGCTATAACATGGCAAAAAGTACTAGTTTTATCAAAGTGCTATCAACAGCACATTAAAAAAATTAAAAACAGAAACGAAGACTTTTCTGTGTGGCGTTTCAAATGGCTTACGTACCTACGGCTTGAGACGTACTTTAAATTCTCAATTCAGAAATCGGGTGACAATAAACATCTTTTAATAGGTATGATGCCTGGGTAAAAAAGTCTATTTAGTCAGTCAGTCGAATAATAGAAAAATATTTTTTTTTGCTTCAATTTAACAAAAAATACTTGAGGAGTGGGGGCTAACTACGTCACAACTATGTAAAAAAATGTACAGAGGTGTGACGTCACGCGAAATTTCAACTCAATGTATCTCCGTAATTTATTGATTTCGCGTAAAATATACGTGTATAATATTTTTTAACATTCTATTTATTAGTGATTAACCCTATTGTAATATAAACAACCAGTGCTGAATAATAGTATTATAATATCTGTGCTTTAAAGAAAGACGAAAAAGCATAATCTAAAGCGTTATATTTGTTTGTCACAAATTATCCCCACAATTACGCTTAAAAGAAGTTATTAGTGCGGATAATATTTATTTTAGTGGTTGCACGCCGTTTTCAAGGTTTCCAGATAGGGTCAATTTAGAAAATAAACTTTTCTATATTGTCTGGGGCCTGGATGTTGTGTTACCTTCGTTGTTTCATATACTCTATAATACGGGGACTTTAGATTTAATGATTGTTTGATTTTTCTTATATTTGATAAATTTTCGATTCATGATGATACATTACTACATTGATTTATTAATTTATCTTAAAGAAAAAACACAATAATCTTAAGTGTGCGTGAAGGGATTCGAACCCATAACCTTTGTACAATTATTATATGAATATACAATTATTGTTTTTTTTATATTATACTCATACACCCATAAATTATACTCTATATCAACGCCGTATGATATGATATGATGACCGATTGGGCAATCCGTCAGTGGATGAAATTTTTAAGTCTTTCCTCTTTATAATTTTAGTATAGAAGTATAGACTAGGTACCCTGAAGATGATATAATAAAAATAAATTCAATTTAAAACAATTACATATCTTTAATATAAAAAATGATTATAATAATATTTTTTTTTTGTTTCACAAGCCCCACACAAAAGATGCAATGATTTTTGAATAAATTTTCTAACAGAAAGTATGCAGCGCCATCTGTTGTGTTGAGTTGTTCTATCTACGTCCGCGACTGTTCGACCGATGGAAATTTCTGAAAATTTATCAATAAATAGACTAAGCTCCATAACAATATAAATAGCTTGTGAAGATTTTGCTCTCATCTTTCGCTCTCTCTGTCTGTGTTAGTGTGTGTGTGCGTGCGTGTGTGTGTGTGTATGGGTGCGCCTGTGTGTGTGTTTTGTCCTATCTAGTTATCGTAATTGATAGAGTTTCTCAGTTTCAATTTAGTGTAGTTTATTCTTTATCTATAAGGTATCGGGTTCGATTCCCGGTCGATTCAATGTAAAAAGCAATCTTTCCATTTTCACTCGGATCTGGGAGTTATGGTACCTTCGTTGTTTTAGATACTTTACAAAACGTGGGTAACTTCTTCTTATTGAACCTGAGTAATGAAAATCTTTATAATACATCCCCTTTTATAGGTAAAATAAAGCACAGACCTTTTGATTACATTTTTATTTTAAAATGTCATAAAATGATATCAACATCTTAAGGTTAACATTGATAAATAGAATTACCATCATGCTATTACATTGGTTTAACTTCGATTTAATTACTTATATGTATATAATACAATTATTGTTACATTTTATTGTCTTTATTTCAAAATTAAAAGCCTCGTATAATAGGAAGCAATATTATGTAATATTCAATAAAATAAATTATTTATGTATAATAAATATTAATTCAGGTTCATTTATAAAACTATAATCAATATTGAAATAAATTGGAAAATATTAAATGGTATTATATCCAAAGTTGCCAGCAATTTTCCTACGACAATATAAAATACTAAGGAATTTAATTACAAAAATAATGTACCAAGCACTCGTACCGCTATACTAAAAGATTATGTTTCCGATAAGACAAATATATATATAGAATATTTTACAGAATCGTATCTTATCAAAATTCAATTTTCATACCAATAAATCTAGGTATATCTACTATAAATTCTTCATTTTTACTTACTTAAGCTAATATTTATTTGAAGCCCAAAAGGAACTTCCAAAAAACTACACTTCGTTAACTCATATATATATAAACTTGAATGAGCCGAATACATTATTATAATATACTATTCGGAAGACAAATTTATTAATACAAATATTATAAATTTATAATCTAGCACATTTTCTTAGTACCCAAATTAGTTAAGACCGAAATATAATTATTTCATGTCAGTTTTAAAAGCGGTTTTATTATAGAGGAATCATTAGCATAAATACAGTGTAGTGTGATTGTTACTAAAAATTATTTAAAATGAAATATACTTATAAAAATTTCTTTATAATATAAACAATTAAATTACTATACATAATTATGATATTTTGATAAATTTTTAATATTAAAAAGATATAAATATTAATTTAAGAATTAGAAACTCTTAATATTAGGTGGATACATAACATATGTAAAATATTTATTGGCCACCATTTTATTTTTTTATCTCATAAAGATCGTTAATTAATTATAGATATATCAATATTCTCTCGTCTATTTTTAACTCAAGACAATCTCTTGTAAAGTATAGGAAAGTTTACTATCTGAGAAATAATCTAATGCTTTGCCGATTCAATGGCTTATCTGAGTTAATTGTTTTATTACACATTCGAGATACTTCCTAAACGAAAGCCAATCATAAGATGTCTTTGATTTTTTTAATGAAATATCTGAATAATTCGTATGCCATCGATCTTAGATAATGTTGGTCTACATACCTTAAGTCTACGGTCTATAGTCTTACAACGGTATTGTCATACAGAACTTATTGTTTATAATGTAAGTATTTCTTATTTTAATGCTCTATCAATTACAAATTTCTAAATATTATACACATTATATAAACATAATATTTATGTATTGTCGCGCATAATTTCTTGTAGAATGAATCAACATATGTACATAGTGAATAACATATAGTACAGAGTTGTTTCTAAAACAAACAAGTCATTATTATTTAATAAAGAAGCATAATTTTATTTTTAAAAAGATCTTTATAGATTGATATGATGTTATTGATATTACCAATTGGTAGCTTTATGAACATACATATTTATACTTTTAATATTCTTATGGCCAAAATAATAACGATTTTATTGTCACGTTTTCACATTGAGTTAGATAATATTATGGCCTAACAATATTTCAACATCATGTCGTAAAAAGTACTTACAACAACCTCAAAATACGTACTCTTACAAAATTTAACAGCCATCTTTGTATCACTACCTATTACTCGTTTTCTATATCATTAATATAATATGTAAAACTCCGTGAACTACATACAATATAGTTTAATTTTGTTGAACGAACATAACGCTCTATTGTTTTTCGAGTGAAACTTTCGTTTGCCTTCCAAAGATTCAATAGGCTGCGTAAAACTTAGAGTATTATTGAATGTTACAAAACGCTGAACTAAGTTCAAAGTTCAACACCGTTTTTTTCCATTATTGTACGAGAGCGTTTAGACTGGCGAGTAAAATTGCGAATACAGCTGTGTACGCCCTAGTGGCGTCATTGTAATCAATGTAACGGCGGGGCGGACCGGACGGCCTAACTTTTTGCTTCTCGGTCCGTTGAGCATATTCGTTGTACGTGTTGTTCAGGCCGTACGCGTTGTAAAAGTTTAACGCATTGTTGATTTCGGGGTGCCGAAGGTCGGCGTCCAGTGAGTTGTAGCCGCGGTCTAGTTGTTTTTTCAGGTGACGCTTCGGAGGCCGCGTGGTAGTCGGTACCGTTGTCGGTGCCGCTGTCGTTGTTGTAGTTGTAGTTGTTGTTGTTGTTGTCGTTGTGGTTGTCCGTTGCGGCGTCTCTGTTGATAAACGAATGGCGATTTAGTATTATTTCCTTGAGTTTCAATGATAATATGTTATATTTTGTTGATGTGATAAGAATTAACAACTAATTTTTAATGATGATTAATATGAAATAGTCATATGTCAATAATTCAATGATATATTATTAAAATATAGATGCATTGATGTTATCATAAGAATATATCCAAGCAATTATAAACTAATCACAACATGAATTAAATATTATATTTTATTTTGAACGCTTAAATTGCTGGACGGCACTAAAAACCAAAAATAATTTTAGTCAAATACAATCTCAAAATTGAGGCAAGTTTACACTGAACGTACCTTTTAAAATTACGACGCCTTCTGCTCTACCGTATGCATTGACGGCTGAACACGAATACTCGCCGAAATCGCTCTTCTTTAAGCGATTGATAGTTAAGTTTGTCCACAGTGCGTACTCGTTGGTCATATGCTCCGTCATCACGTACTTGGAACTATTTAGTAGTTTTGCACCTACGAGAAAAATAATTGTTGACCTTTAATTATGTACAAATTTATATAAATCAAATCAATTAAATATCTCGTTTAAATATATCGCGCGGGTGTTGGACAACTATTTAACGAAAAAGATAGATTTTAAGGATACCCTTTTAACAAATTTTGTATAAGTCTCAAGGGTGTTATGGTTTCATTTTGTGTGAATCATTACTTAAAAATTTTGATGAAAATGATATAGATACTCTTTAAGTGCAAATAGTTTTTTTTAAACTGAGCAACAAACCAACCTGTATGTGATTTGCCTCGTTGCCATGTTATAAGTGACTTAGGTGAGGCTTCGATGTAACACTGTAGACTGACTTGCATGTCCACTGATCGTAGCACGACTGGACTTTCCACTCGAATCATCGGTTGAACTAGTGAAACAGATAATAACAGGGCTTGATGAGTATCTTTAAATATTCTGTCTGTAAATTAAATAGTCTGTCCGTCTGCCCGTCTGTCTGTCCGTCACTAGCCTGTATCTTATGAACCGTAAAGCTAGACAATTGAAATTTTTACAGACGATGTATTTGTTTTACCGTTCTGTTACTATTTTTTTGTGTTTCATAGATAATACAGAATATATACAATAATTACTTCCTACTAAAATTTATAATAGCAAAAAGGTTAACTATAAATTAAGTCAACTCAATTAGGTTAACACAAAGTCATCCAAAAGTTCAGTTAAGCATCGAAGTTAGATAGGTACTTTGTTTTCCAAAGCCTACTGAAATTTTCTCATGGATAAATTCACCTTAGGCTCAGTATGCTTTGAGCAAATTTATTTGAGGTTCCCAATACATGGGCTTCTATTTTGCATTTAGAAAGTAGCATACGAAAATACGAAATATTATCAATATTACGCTCAATCTATACAAATTTTAGCCAAATAAATATTTTTATATCAAACTGACAAAATATTATCAGACAATATTTGTTACTTTAACGACATGTTGTTACAAAAGACTTTTCTGAATAATAAAAATACAAAATTTAGAGGTAAATAAGGAACTTTATCATAGAAACGTAAACAATAAGTATTCGACTTAAAATGAACTGTTAGTGCGTGATAGTCGTCGCAGATATTTTGAAGACATAATAAAGTCGTAAGTATGTACCGAGACAGTATCATAAAAGTTCAGAATTTTAAAAGAAATCATCAAATGTAGGAAACCATAACGTTATAACAACTAACTTAAAACTATCTTAAACTAAGGTTTTTAGAAACAGACAGAATGCCACAATGTCAAAGGGCACATTTTTAATAATGGTGATATTTCTCAAATATTTTTTTAATATTCAATAAAAAATAAAAAACATAGAAGTTATAGATCAGTTGTTAGCAGTAGAGTTCAGAATCGATGGTCCTGCCTGGCGGTAACAGCTCATAATGAATAATGCCATTCCAATCCCACCATACACACAGCATCAGCTGGTTGCGAATTAACCCGAGTTTCACCACAGTCTGTGAAGCCTGGCCGACTTTTGACCACGACCTTGTTCATACGTTCTTGTCGTACGTGATCCACTTTTTAACACCAATTGTCTTCAAAAATTTTAAAATGTATCTAATTTCTTCATTAGATTCATTCATTTTGTCAAGAAGAAAAACAAATGAAAATCACACATTTTCCCAATTTTAATTTAGAGTAATCTTCTTTATTTTTTTTTTAATGATACTGAGTCCAGCCAAATACAAACAGTATAGCCAGAAAGTTTTATTACAAGTTTATGCATACTTTATGCGAAAAGACTTTTTTCTCAACCTAATAGGTACTTACACACAAATATTTCGGAAGCTATTTCAAATGTTTTACCGTCATCTATGTATGTTTAACCACCATGGCGGATGGGAGGCAAAACGTGATTTATCATGACATGATCAATAGCAACAAAACTCGTAATCTTGTTGTGAAATTTATTCTTGAAAACCAAACTGCTTCTGTGATTTAAACCGAAAAAAGTTTAAAATAAGATACAATGCAGCAAAAGTTTTTATAGTTTGGAGGTGGAATATAGAGGTAAAAGATTTGATTAGAATTGCCATATTCAAATACGACAATTGATAATATAAAATAGTTTTTTGTTTATAATATTTGATCAGTTTCGCATTGAGAACATTATACCGAAAAACTTCTAAATGAAAAATGCTTAAATATGATTAATCCCATCTGAGGGAAAAAATCCACTTGGTCCCTGACCAAGTGGATTTTTTAAGCATTGTTCATCAAGAAGATTTTTTTGTTTTTTTAACTAACTATAATTGTATAATTTATATAAGTTATAGGCATTTAAAAATAAATACAAAGTTGCACATAGACGAATATAAAATATTTCGAAATAGAAATACTTACAAAATACAGAGACATCATATTTTCGACTCTTAGTAGGAGGAATACCGTTGGCAGCTATGCATAAATAGGTCCCCATATCCGACCTTCGCAGATTACGAAGTGACAGAGTAGACCCCACGAAGCTTTCTACTGCTGAACAAAAAAAAAAACAATTAAGTTTACTATACTATTTTCCACGCGCCTCTATCAAAGCATAGGCTTTATAAGGTCTTGGAGTGATACGTCTGCAACATTAGCGACTTGGTGAAATAAATAAAAAGGTGTACGCAAGCCATGAGCAGAACACAGCAGGATACAAAGCTCACCTGTATATTAACCGAGATTTTTTGATTCAATAATAAAAAATTGTTATCTAATATTACATCGTTAACTTTTATTTCTTTAATTTTCAATAATTTCTTCTCAAGATTCAAAATTGATATATTTTTTTTATTAAAAATGCTTAAACTATCCACTTTGTCCATGGCATCTCAGATGGAAAACGAACGCATGACCTTTCGCAATCAGGGCGACTACTCCAACCACTGAGCTATCCAGGACCTAACATAACTTGTTGCTTTTTCGCTATTACAGAGCAGAAAAATATATTTTTACAAACTTTTGACAAAGATGAAAATTTGTTCTGATTAATTATATTGGATCAAATTTTCGTTCACAATGCTATACCTACTGATGTTTTTTTGTGCGTCTATTATAATTTGTAGCAAATATCACATTAACTAAAAATTTCCCCAGAAATTACCTTAATGTCAAAAACAACGGAACCACCTTTTGAATATGCAGCAGTAGACGGTTCTTACTCTTAATATAGCCTGCACCGAGTCATAAATTGCCATCATGATTTATGACACTTTATTAAACCATTCCTCTTTCATTCGACCCTAATAAGCGATTTTCTTTTGTTTCTCCCACATTCATTACCTTTTTTAGGTTTCACCGCAAGCACAAAAGAAAGGCACGATAAAATTTTTACTTTAATTTAAAACCTTACGGTAATTGTTACCAAGAATTTATGAGACTATATTTCAACTACTTCTGAAAAAAAATACAAAATACGAGTATACTACTTCTTGATACACAGTTGAGTGTTTTTATAATCCATATAGTGATTGGGAGCTCGGTGGTGCAGTGGTTTGCGCTTGCGGTCTGCAATGCGGTAATTAACTAACTTACGCAAGGATTAGGCGTAGAATAGGTGATCTTTTTTGATAATGGGAAATTCACCATAAGCCTTAATCCACGACACTATATCCTCGCGCCCGTCCTAAAAAGGACAGGCTTAAGCGAGGTCGGCCTATCCGGTAAAACCCGTTGCGCCGATCCTCCGAGAGGGAGAACGCAGGAGGGACCCAGCCCCAACAAGATAGGTGACCTAAAATTTACTGTCTCGGCTCCTCAGTGCTTCGGAAGACATGTCGTTTCCCGTTACATCTGAATTCGTTAAGACTTGGGCCTACGGCCGCGTAGTGAGTCATGGTCATTGGAACTAGTCCCACTATTTAATTCCATCCATAGAGAAGGCCTGTACCTCAGCCGTAGGATAATAATTGGCTTCTGATATTGATTATATAGTGACATTTTGTTATCTATACGTATAAAAGTAATCATCGAAAGGCATATTCATAACTTCCGAACGACTGCAACAAATTGAATGATATTTTTTTAAATGTTCCTTATTGTATTGAATTTGTATATTAACAATGTCATTTTGTACTTTTTTTAAATAAATCGTTAATTTACTCAAAAATACTGATAGCTGTTATCATTTTGGAATTGAAATAGCTTCTAAGACGCAATTTAAATCATTCATCTCATTAATATGTGTATACATTAATAGGCTGATGAATTGATAATATTTTTATTAAGTATAAAAAACGCCGATATTGTGTTATGATTAGTTTAGGAAATTCGACAGTATTCAGATAGGAATTATTATTTATATATCAAACATACAACGCATAAAGCGCCCGCGTGTCCGTTTAAAAGTTATTTTATTTAATATTTAGTGCGCGTGAAAACATAACAAACATGTTAGTTATTATTATTTTACGTGTAGTATTTTAACCAGTCAGCTTATACGCTTATTATTAAGCGTCGACTGAACAGCTTATTCGAACATAAGCTCGTATATCACAGCGACTGCTCCCTCGCGTACTTTCATCTTACCTTAATTATATAGACCTCCGTCGCTAATCTCAGTATAACACTTTAATGAAAACATCGCACAACCCGGCGTTTAACGGCCGCTGTCAAATTAAATTTAAATTGAATTAATTTATCGACTTATTGTTAAATCGCTACACCATTATAAAGCCGTGGTTGCCGATTAAGCGTGCGCGCGTGTAAAATATTTTTATTATTTTACTTTATTAATAATTTAAATACGTTATTAAAGACAAACACTTAACAAACCAAAGTCTAGACTTGTCTTAAAACACTAAGTCAATAATTATAACGTATTTTATTTGAAATATAAAATATAAATTTTACTAGTGATAATAATTTGTTGGCGTTATAAATAATTTTACTGAGAGACTGAAAAATAAAAAAGTATATTCTTCTTCTCATAGTAGGCCACATAAATAGAATTATAATATTTTAATACACTTATGAAAACATGAAAGTATCATTAATAGCATCATTACGAATAACAACTTTCTTTTATATTAAGACAGTGGAATATTTGAAGTATTTTTTTTTTATAAAATATATATCAATATAAATATAGGTTAGTACTCTAAACATATAATATCTTTTGTTATTACAACACTAAAGTTGAAATATTATTATAAGCTAAACGCATTCCAGTGCAGCAGGGGCCACTTGTATTTCACGTTGCCGTGATTCCCCTGCTCCGCTATAATCGCTATATTACAAAACGTGTCTTAAATCTCGAGTACGGACATAAAATACTGCTTCACTACGTAGCGGGTAATATCAAAAGCGGCCTGTATGAAATTGTGTTTTATTAACGGGTTATAAACTCGGGTTGCGACATGTCGTTGGCAACTTGTTTGCTCAAACGACGTCTCTGATTTGCCCATTCCATTATTATAGCTCCAAGGCTAATTGTTTTCCAATTTAAGTTCCGCTCAACATTTCTCCCCCGTTCAGAGACTTTTAGAGTCACTTATAAACAATGAGATATGGATTAACGTTTAATCGTAGTTTAGCAACAAGTTAGCAGTAATTTCAGAGTAGAATTTTCTTCTAAAGTTCTCGTAGATACAAATGAAAATAAAAGGAACGGTCCGAGTGAGATTAGCTTGGAGTTTTTAACAGTTGCTTGAACGCGTTGCATTTAATTTTTCATCAACATTAAGAGAACAATATTCAGCAAGCTTTTTTAGAGTAATGTACAAAATGTTGGTAGGTAAATAAAATATAACGAAACTTGGCCTTTAACTAATATTTTGAATTTCGACGTGTGATGAGATTTATTTTCAAATTGCCATTGTAGGTGTATTAGCCTGCTTTTGGTATATGTGAGATCGGACCAATTAACATCTGGATGCAATTGAAACGATATAATAGGTAATTATATCAAATTGACCTATGAAGTTTAACACAAATAATTTTATGCAGTCTGCATTCAATCAAAGTATCATAAGACGACATTCTTGAACCTACATATTTTATATAGTTATCGATAAATCTAAAAGGTACCTTGGTCGCTAAATATACATCTAAATATCTAATAAGTACTTCTAATACAACCGATATGATCTTTAGAGAAACGAAAATACCCATTTAATTTAAAAATTTTAACGTACACGTCTGTAGTATATCACAAAAAAGTATAAATAAAAAAATCTGTGAAAATAATGTTTATCATATTTTTTAGCTAATCAACTGCTTAACAATCTTAATAAACCTTAGCCATATTTATTAATTAACAAAAGAATTAAAATTTCTATATCATCATTTATTATGGATTCATTAATTGCATTGTAACATATGAAGATAGCGAGTTAATTAAGACTACAGTGACGCCCGCTGACGCCTCTCGAGGCAACTAATTAATTTGCGTTTGTTGACTTTTTATACACATTACAAAAATAAACCTACTTAATGAGCACTTTCAGCATTCAGAAGTGACAGTTAATTTAAACTTTATATTAGTAAAACGTAAAATTATTTTAATTTTCTGCAGATATCACGTAAATATGAAAGAAATGTTGGTGATAGAGTATATAACTAAGTTAAAAGAATCACGCATACACCTAAATTGGCTTTACAAATTTACGACTAATATTTCTGCTAACTTATGAAATCTACTTTTAAGAAAAATATTTTTTTTTTTACATTTCCCATAATATAATTAAATGAAAGTATTAGTTATGTAAAAGACTAGTAAAAGTAAGTAGCAGAATCCCACACTGATTGTGGCCACATATGATTTAGCCACTTTTCAATTTATATTTACGAGTAACTTGGTAAAAAAACGACCCTTAACTCCTATCAAAATTTACTTCATTGAATTGATTTAAAATCCTTTTCGTTAAGTATAGTATGTTCAACACATTCAATTAATAAGCCAAAAGCGCTCCGCCACTGTGTTAACTATTATAACCTTTTACCGTTTACAGAAGCGCGCCAGTCTTTTGTTTACGCTTAATGGCTTAAATAAAACGGGTCAAATTCGTAAAACACCACCCCGAAAAGGTTTAAATTGCCTGTGGGAGCCCAAAATGTCGCCTTTAACGCTTCACTATAAGATATAAATTAGAACGGAGGATTACAACCGATTAAGGTATGCCGTAGTGCGTATGTGTTAGAACGACTAGTTCTATAATTGCTTTGTACTCCTGTCTTTTCACCTTCTGTTTTCAGTTTAGCTTGTAAAGGGTAAATCATTATAACTACAAGCGGCATCAAGCCTTTGTTGTGTTGATTTTCACTAAATTGCTCCTTTAATTTCCTGCTGAAACCGGGATAGCTACGATATTTTGTTTAAGTAGTAATTGAGTTCTTTGAACACGTTTTTTCCACGGAAATGAATTTCAGTCATAGCAAAAGGATCCACTTACTTTTGTAATGTAAAAATGTTGACAGCCTATTCGGCTTAAATAAAAAAATGTTAAGGAAAATATTATCGCAGACGCAGTTCAGCTAGGTCATTTTGGAGTTAGTATAATATCTTCCATACCAAAGAATTTATACACTAATTTATACATATGAAATAGACCCGCTTGAAGCAAGGCGGTGCGTGCTGTATGTACTTTTTTATTGTACTTATTTGTTTGTATGTTTTTTGGGTTATCTAACAGGTGTTTTCTTTCTAACTGGCTCATGTTGCTTTAATAAACACAACACCCCTTTTCAAGAGTATATGATATCTGCGTCTGGGTGAATGATATCTGCAATTCTCTTGAATATTCACATTTCTTTTTCTTAATAATCACTGACATAGTTTTTTTAACGTAATAAATATACGAACGTTTGAAACAGATTTCAATTTAACGGAAATTCTGAATTAAAATTTGTTTTATGTTGGTTTGTCTCACGATTACTCTCCTGATTAAAAGATTATGATTTCCTTCATAAATCTCTTTGATAAATATTACTAAGGAGAATGAATAAGCTTTTAGAAAAGGATCAAAAAATTTGGTTCGGTAATTTTTTCAATAAACTCATTAACTGATTCAGCTTGAAGTTCGAAATTAGTTCTTTCCAGAAAGTCTTTTGTTACTCAAGAATTAATTTAAAAGTCATTTTACTTAATCAGGAAAAAAGCTAGAGAACTATCTTCAATGGAAGAATTATTTTCATCGATCCAGCTTTTAGGGTACAATGCCCTATCAATCAGGACACTGTCCTTAGACAAAATCACATATATGGACCATAACCTTACCATGTGGCCCCAGTGCGGACTGTTAATGCAGTCGTAACCATCATAAAACGTTCTATAACTAATGCCTTTAGTTACCATAGAGTGATAAAAAAGATCTATAATAGTAACCGTTGCGACTGCTAGTAATATAATGGTTTTCGAAAAAGCGATTTAATCCTCTAATATTAAAGAGTATATTACATTAACAAAACTGATAAGTACGTTAAAATGTTCTTGAAACTTCTAAAGTACCGAATTTGCTACTTGGGGTGCCTATCAAATACCATATCATTTATATTTTTATTTGCTAGGTTATAGTTACATAGACATAATATAGTTCACAACTAAATTAAAAATTACAGTACCTACATATTAAGCACAAAATTTCAAACTAAAAGTTTATTATGGCTATATTATGATCAAAAGTTGAATATTGTTTTAATCATCATAACCAGCTTATTTTTCTCCCTACTACTGGGACACAGATCTTACATGTTTATTAAATCAAATAGTGATAAGGGACCAAGTAGAACCAATGTGGATTGGTAGTTGTTAACCACTGCAAATGCAGCCAGAACCAACCACTTGATACACGTCAAACGCCAAAACAAAAGTTCTCGAGATAAAAAATTTTGGCCACCCATCCCGTGACCGACCATCGCAAAGGTTGCTTAACCTCCGCCTCGCAAACCAACCTCTGAGAGAAGCCATATCTTTAAGTTTATTATTATATCTGAAGCGTTATTTAATCATTAGGACCACACAGCTGACTCAGCATTCCGAGATTTGTGTAGATCTATCAGTTCAATATCTTAAAACCGTATCTTATTAAGTCCCATAAAACTCCAATGTTCTAAAGGCGAGACCACCTGCTCCCGCCCGCCGGGCTTTGAATGCAAAATTAGTCCTGTTTCTTTTTTACCACTTAGTTGTATCTCACCGATGCGAATGAATTTCAAAGGAAAATTGACGTTTTGCGTCCTGCTTCTTTATGTGCTTTCAAGGAGAATGACTCGATTATTCTCTTTAATTTAGTACACCAGCAGGGGACTGTAATAAATTCGAGCGGCAAATAAAATCGCTTAAGAAAATGATGCGAATGTAATATTCGTAGCGGTGGATGCGTCTATCAGTTTATTTGAATAGGTTCCATTAATATTAAATCGCCCTCTGATTTTGGTGTAGAATAAATGTTTAGAAAATGAATTTTGCATTCATAAATAAGTAAATTCTTTCAATTGAAATGAAATGGAAAATTGAAATGGAAAGAATTTACTTATATATTTTCCGTCCTCTACTCTTTATGAAAATGGAACTGTTTACCTGTTTATTTAAAATCTTAAATACATCGTATTCAAAATCTTAAATACGCTTCCCGTTGTCTGTACCCTGATATCTTTTATGGATTTTAATGCGATTTTCATTAATATATAAAGTATAGCAACAGTCAGCCCATCTAACCCGGTCGAAACGTCGCGATATATAGGTAAGTGAAAAACCTATCAATCTATCGCGGTAATACCCTTTTCATACAATCTGATATAATGCAACGCAAAAGTTTAAAAGTTTATAATATATAGTGGTTCAAGATGAAGGTAAATTCATAATACAGGATCATGCAAGCGAGGCCACTGGTAGTAACTCCTAAAGTCTAGAAATAAATTGGTTAAAATAACAACTCGAATTACGAGAAGAATATACTTTAAGAGCTCATTCTAGAAGAATACGACATCAAATTTTTTAAACACATAGGACTTTGATGATTGTCAAAGCTTTTTTTGTGATAAAAAATCACAACACATATACATAATGATTCAATTAAAACTATCCGAGAAACCTTAATGGCACCGTTCAAATAAAAAGCTAGCCGTCCAATTGAACAGCTATTTTTACCAATTAATAAATCAAATCAAATCAAAATTATTTATTCAGTCTAGGCTGTTACAAGCACTTGTGAAAGTCGAGAGCTACGCCATCGGTTCGTAAATCTATGGCGGGAGACCTTGTATCGAGAAGAACCAGCAAAAAACTCGGCAAGGGCTGCTTTTTTCTCCCTGTTTTATTTCATACAGAGCGTCAAGATTGAAAAATGACTTCATGAAAATTTGAAGTCACTTTCCATTACAATATTACACAATATAAGAGTAAAACAGTATTTTCGTCAATCCAATCACATGTGTAGCCATAGAAGCTCACCGATAAACAATTTAATATATATGAAAAATGAGCCACATTTAACACCAAGCAGTTTTGTCGTTTAAATATTCATTAACAGTAAAATATACTTTACTGAGTAGACAATTCTTAATATGGGTTTTAAGGTAATGGTAAACTTAAAATTCCCATAGGAATTTTGTTATAGTAGTGTACACCTTGACCCATAAATGATGATAGAACGTTCTTTAGCCTGCATGACGGCATGGCTGCGATATAAATAATACCTATAATCATTTTTCGTGTGTAATATATAATATAATTGTTATCCACCTGAAGTTAATCACAGCTCGCCATCGTTAACTAGTAATATTCAAAATTACAACAAAACTTACATTTGTTCTCTTTGCCGTCATTATCACGGAACACGATGCTCCTACCCTCAGTCCTCCTCCAAGATATGATTGGCTCAGGTACGCCTGTAGCAGTACAGCCAAGATCTACGGAACCACCTTCTGGAGCACTAGCCTCTGATCCATCGTCATCAGTAATGTCGGGAGGGATTACCACTGAGAGGAAACCCATCTGAAAATAAATCATAAAGTACAGAATTGCGTCTCAAATTATTTCTTTTTATTTTATACATTAAAGCTTAGAATTATATCGTTTAATTCTCATTGGAAAAATAGACATACAAATGTCGTTATAACTTATACAGTAAAATATAAGGTTTTTTTTTTATTTCAAATTATTACAACAAATTCATTAATTTGTTGATTGTTTCATTAGTATTTTAATAATACTATATTTTGAGTTATTATATCACTTAGTTCCAAAAAGGAACAAGTGAACATATTAAAAATAAACAAAACCGCACCAGGTAAAAACTTATTATCACGTCAGAACTGTCACAAAAAATCAATAAATGTTATTATAATTATGAATTTAAAATATCTTTAAAATAATTGAAAAAAAAAGAAAAACCGTCTTAAACCGTCTAGCCTGAAGCCTGAAAAAAACAACAGTATATCTAAAAGTAGAGATTGATTAATTTTATTAAAACTATAATATTATTTCTTTTCAATATAAATATTAACAGGAAAAGGTTTTATATTTTTATCTTCATATATTTCTTTATTATGACGAGTATTGTTTACGCAACTAAGTAAACTTGTGGTACACGAAGGAAAACATAAAAGACTTTCATCTTTTATTTCGGACTTTTTTCTTCCTTAATCTGTATCACCAGTTACTGGGAAACGTTTGTTTGATAATGGATTGTATATCAACGACATAAGGTGTTATATTACACCGGTGACTGGTTTGATATTAATCGAAGGCATTACGGGCTAGCTACACGCTGTGCACAAAGGAAAACACAGTCATTACAACGCTTACACTGAAAACAACTTAATGTCCTCTCACGAATGCGGACCTGGAATTGTTTGATGACATAGAACTGATTATTTTTGAATTCTTCATGACAATATTCAATACGATATGAAAAGACTATTTATAGCTCAAAAAAAATGCATACGAGCAATATGTGGTATAAAAAGACGTGACTCCTGTAAGCCTATGTTTAAAGAATTAAAAATATTACCTTTGCCTTGCATTTATATTTGTGAACTGTGTTTATTTGTAAAAAAAATCCACAATATTTTACTAAAGTCAGAGAGATAAAAAAAGACCCACGAAGTTCGAGACAAAATAAAATTGTTATTCCGAAATGTAATTTGACATTATTGAAACAAAATGTATATTATATGGCTATAAATATATTCAACAAGCAGCAATCGAAACTAGTAGACTTACCGATTAACAGAATTTTTTTTAAAAAAGCTTTGACGGAGTGGCTTCTTAACAAATCATTTTACTCGATACAGGAATATTTGGAATGCAAGCAATTTTAGTAGAGTAAAAATCGCTTATAAATAAATAAATTATTATATACAACGACACTATAAATAAATTATATACAATGACATATTTTATAATTTGATGATAAAATTATTTTGTAATTAACATGGATTTATGTATTAAGCTTACTTGACTTATTATTTTTGTAACATATAAATTGATTCGAATTTTGACATTATTACTATTACTTAATTTTAAACTATAAGACGGAAATAATATGTAATAGGAACTGAATGAAATGTTTTTAAGTTAATGATGTGCGAATAAAATAATATCATAGTTAATGCATGAATAGATTAAAATGTAAATTTATATAACTACTAAAACTATTGCACACTGTCAAACAGTAAATATGTGATACGCTTATTTTATGACATCTGTTACACCATATTTTATGCAATAAATGATTGATTGATTGATTGATTGATTGATACGATAATGTAAACACTACGTAAGAAAAACAATACTTATTAAAAATTAAATTATTATCAAAAACGGAAATGTGTATATTTAAAAAAAAATTTAATCACACAAGTCTGGCGTTTGGGCTTACTAATGTGTAGGGCACTATACTTACCCATAGGTGAGTAAAACAAGAGCTTGTTTTATTATTTTATCGTAATCTCCTCAGTGAACCTTTTCATTTGTTGACTATATTATGAGAATAGTCTGCCATTATGAGTGACACGCAAAAAATTAAATAATTTTATTATTTTTGTACTTTATATCAAAACCTTTCATTTAATTTTTTTTTAAATGAAAGGTTTTGATATATCTGTATTGTTTACCGTGTAATTTCGTTTTGTTTTCCTGTCTGTATGTGTGCAATAAAGATTATATTATTATTATTATTATTATTAATTTGATGATCATAATTAATACTCGTAAAATAATAATGTAAAGTAATGCCTAATCTTAAACGTTAACCTACCATAATTTTAATTTTGTTGCTTTTAGCTGTCGTCTGTTTTTCTAGTGTTTAATTACCTATAAGTGGACACTTGTAATTGGCTTTCTTTATAGATATAATAAATATTCCATAAATAGAATTACCTAGCTGTAAGTTCCGATGATATTGAAAATAAAAATAAAATGAATCATTACAGTAGTGAAAAAAATAGACCACCATCTTGAGCTGTCCTCTATATTAAATTTAAAATCTAAATATTAACCACGCATTGTCGTCATAACAAACCTATATGCAGAATTTTAGCTTATTTTGTTATAGATAAATAAAATAAAAGAAAAAAAAAACAGTTTTAAGATTACAGAAACATACATACTTTGCAAGTTAAACAAAAGTTTGTATAAATTTTCACATTATTTTTGCCAAAATGCAAAATTATTTTGAAAATTTTGAAAATTACGACGACTTTGAAAAAAATAAAAATAAAATAAATAAATAAATAAAATTACCAATAATAAAGTGAATATTGCCATAGTGAGCCTATATCACAAACAAATAAAATGTCCAACTCACGCAATAATTATTACGGTTACAAACATCGATTAACCAACCCTTCTCAGGGAAGGCGATTGGAATCTGATAGTTTATACAAGTCGGTTGTCCCTCAATCTAATAATGTGGAGGCAGGGGTCGTGAATGTAGTATGAAGATGTATTGTTCGTATCCGGCGGTCATGGCTTGACTTTGACAAAATTCCTGGGACGCTCGCAAACAGCGACCAACCGAACCGCATGCTATTTGTTAAAACACAAAAATCACCACCCATTTTCATGTTGTACATAGCTGAAATATCATCAAGTCTCTTTTAACCAAGATTAAAATATAGATGTTTAACTAAAAACAAGTGATAGGCGTCTAGGTAGAAGTATACTGGCGTATACATAATCTATACTAATATTGTAGAGAGGTACATATTCCTTTGTTTGAAGGGGTACTCTTCAGAAATGCTGATCCAATTATGAAAATTCTTTCACTCACATCATAGACGGGTGACATAAGCATTAGTTTCTACGGGAGAAAAAGGAGAAAAACATTCTAAATTTAAATTAGACTGTAAAAGATGCTACGTTTATAAACACACACAAAGTTTTAATCAAACAAAAGCCAAGTAAAACACTAATAATTAGTAGCGAGTAAACTCGGAAACCTCGCCTTCAATGGGTATTTTAGAAATACTTTCAGATACGTATTATGCAAATTCCCGATAACATTCAGTGTAGTAAACATTGTACGTTGCGAGCGCAAGAATGCGAGGGAACGTACAAACCTATTGTACGCCGGTCGGGAAACGAAGAAAGCCAGATTCACGTCAGGGGGGCGACTTTGACAAAATTCCTGACGTCCGCACCCGGCCCGGCACTATACAGGTCGCATTCCTCATCCAAATATGTACGAGTTATAATTTCGGCTTTGCAATATTAAACTTTAAATGCACGGAAACAAACTCGCAACAATCGCGACATGTTTCAGAACAATTTTTGTTGAATTTCAAATTGATATGATAACCCTCTCCTATTTACGTTTCGCTCGAGTGTGAATTCTTGTAGAGACAGTCTTGTGTCACATGAATTATGGAAATCCTTAGTGCAGTTGAGTGAATTGCAGATTTTCATATGGTAAGTATACTTAGTGTGACCTTATATCTTTTGCCCTTATTTTTATAAATAAAAATTGTCTTTCAACGATACTTGTATTAAAAGATATCGTAGCTGGAGCACGTAGAGGACACGTTTCTTGCGAAGAAAGTTTGAACGTGAACTGGTTAATATATATATTCAGTTACATCTCATAATCAGAGATAGAATTTATCAGTCATTGGTATCAATTCAAGCAGAATTCATAATGGCAATGAATATAGAATTTTGAGGAGTACTAAATGTCTTTAAAGTGTGTTTTGATGTCTTTATTGAAAAATACTAAAAAAAAAAACACCATCACCCGACATTTAAGCGTAGTGATTGCAAAATTGATAAAAATAGCAAATCTAGTCATTTAACAATTTTTAGGGTTCCGTAGTAAAAAAGGTACTCTTATAGTTTAAAGGTACCCATCTATCCGTCCGTCTTTCCGTCCGCTATTTAACTCAAAAACTATTGGTACTAAAAAGTTTTAATTTGGCATCAGTATACACGTTAATAACACCGTTAAAATATTAAAGTGAAATAAATAATAAAGTCAAGGAAGTCAATTTATTTTTCGTCTTTCCTGTAGTGTGGGGCGTCGTTGGATAGCTCTTTCAAAACATTGGTGGTGTGGGAAGGCCGTTTTTTCGATTTAGTTAATCGTTTGTGACTAATTAAGCTTTAAAGAGCTAATTTTCGTTGGAGTCAAGTGACACCCTCTACCAACAAAACGGTCACTGATAAAAATTTAAACGTTACGGCAGTAGTACCTACATATAACGAAGTTACAAGGAAAACTATAATACTTAAGTTGGCTTTACAAGTTTACGAGTAATAGTCGACCAATCATATTTAACTTGAAAATTTCAAACAACTCCATAGAAAACAACAAACGTGTTTTTTTTACCTTTATAATGGCTAATCGTAAGGAACCCTCTTAAATCTGTTTTATTTTATATAATAAGGTATCAATTAAAATATTAATATTCTATTAAAATAATAGGAATCCAATCGGTTCAGTAGTTTCGGAGAAATAGACTCTGACGAACGGATGGTCAGACATACGGGAGATCGTA